GGGTCTTGAATATCTCCAGAGAAGGAGACTCCACTCCCCCCCTGGGCAGCCTGTTCCAGTGCTCCGTCACCCTCAGAGGGAAGAAGTTCTTCCTCATGTTCAGAAGGAACTTCCTGTGCCTCAGTTTGTGCACATTGCCCCTTGTCCTGTCACTGGGCACCACTGAAAAGAGCTTGGCCCCATCCTCCTGACACCCATCCTTCAGATATTTGTAGGCATTTATAAGGTCCCCTCGCAGCCTTCTCTTCTTCAGGCTGAACAAGCCCAGTTCCCTCAACCTCTCCTCGTAGTGGAGATGCTCCAGTCCCCTCACCATCCTCGTAGCCCTCCGCTGAGCTCTTCATCTTTCTTGAACTGGGGAGCCCAGAACTGGACACAGTACTCCAGATGAGGCCTCACCAGGGCAGTGTAGAGGGGAAGGAGATCCTCCCTCGTCCTGCTGGCCACACCTTGATGCACCCCAGAATCCCATTGGCTTTCTTGGCACCCAGGGCACACTGCTGGCTCATGGTTAACCTGTCGTCCACCAGGACACCCAGGTCCCTCTCCGCAGAGCTGCTCTCCAGCAGGTCCACCCCAAGCCTGTACTGGTGCATGAGGTTGTTCCTCCCCAGGTGCAGGACCCTGCACTTGCCCTTGTTGAACCTCATCAGGTTCCTCTCTGCCCAGCTTTCCAGCCTATCCAGGTCACGCTGAATGGCAGCACAGCCTTCTGGTGTATCTACCACACCTCCCAGTTTGGTGTCGTCAGCAAACTTGCTGAGGGTACATTCTAACTCTTCATCCAGGTCGTTGATGAAGAAGTTAAACAAGACTGGGCCCAGTACTGACCCCTGAGGGACACCACTTGTCACCAGCCTCCAACTAGACTCAGCGCCGCTGATGACAACCCTCTGAGTTCTGCCATTCAGCCAGTTCTCTATCCACTTCACCGACCACTCATCCAGCCCACACTTCCTCAGCTTCCCCAGGAGGATATCATGGGAGACTGTGTCGAAAGCCTTGCTGAAGTCAAGGTAGATAACATCCACAGCTCTCCCTTCGTCTACCCAGCCAGTCATGTCATCGTAGAAAGCTATCAGATTGGTCAGGCATGATTTCGCTTTGGTGAATCCATGCTGACTACTCCTGATAACCTTCTTTTCTTCCACTTGCTTCATGATGGCCTCCAGGATAAGCTGCTCCATCACCTTTCCCGGGATGGAGGTGAGGCTGACCGGCCTGTAGTTCCCTGGGTCCTCCTTCTTGCCCTTTTTGAAGATTGGAGTGACATTGGCCTTTCTCCAGTCCTCGGGCACCTCTCCTGTCCTCCAGGACCTCTCAAAGATGATGGAGAGTGGCTCAGCAATGACATCCGCCAGCTCCCTCAGCACTCGTGGGTGCGTTCCATCGGGGCCCATGGATTTGTGGACATCCAGATCGCTTAAGCGATCCCTCACACAGTCCTCCTCGACCAAGGGAAAGTCGTTCTCTTTGTAGGCTTCATCTCTTCCCTCCGGGGCCTGGGATTCCTGAGGGCCAGTCTTAGCACTGAAGACTGAAGCAAAGAAGGCATTCATTAGCTCTGCCTTCTCCGCATCCTCCGTCACCAGGACACCCGCCTCATTCAGCAGCGGCCCCACGTTGTCCCTAGCCTTCCTTTTGCTGCTGATGTAGTTGAAGAAGCCCTTCTTGTTGTTTTTGACATCCCTTGCCAGCTTCAATTCCAGGTGGGCCTTGGCCTTCCTCGTCGCATCCCTGCATGCTCTCACTACGTTTCTGTACTCTTCCCAAGTGGCCTGTCCCTCTTTCCACATTCCATGGACCTTTCTCTTCTGCCTGATCTCCGCTAGAAGCTCCTTGTTTAACCATGCAGGTCTCCTGCCTCCTTTGCTAAATTTCTTTCTCAGGGGGATGCATTGCTCCTGTGCATGGAAGAAGTGTTGTTTAAAGAGCGACCAGCACTCATGGACCCCCCTGCCTTTGAGAGCCCTGGCCCACGGGATTCCTCCCAGTAGCTCCTTGAAGAGGGCAAAGTCAGCCCTCCTGAGGTCCAGGGTTTTGATCCTGCTTATCGCCCTGCTTCCTCCATGCAGGATCCTGAACTCGACCATTTCATGGTCACTGCAGCCGAGTCTACCTCCAACCTTCACGTCCTCCACCAGTCCCTCCTTGTTTGTTAACACGAGGTCCAGCAGCGCGCCTTTCCTTGTTGGTTGCTCCACCACTTGCATCAGAAAGTTATCATCGATGCTCTGTAGGAACCTCCTGGATTGCGCCTGCCTAGCTGTATGGTCTTCCCAGCTGATGTCAGGGTGGTTGAAGTCCCCCATGAGAACCAGGGCCTGTGACTGTGAGGCTGCTTGCAGCTGCCTGTAGAAGGCCTCATCAACCTCCTCCTCCTGGTCAGGTGGCCTGTAGTACACACCCACCGTAATGTCACCTGTGTGAGCCTGTCCCTTAATTCTAACCCACAAGCTTTCAACTACTTCTTCACTTGCCCCCGGGCCAAGCTCAATGCATTCCAGTTGCTCCCTCACATATAGAGCAACTCCCCCACCTCTCCTTGTTGGTCTGTCTTTCCTAAAGAGTCTGTAGCCATCTATGACAGCATGCCAGTCATGCGAGTTGTCCCACCACGTTTCTGTGATGGCGACCAAGTCGTAGCCGTCCTGCTGTATAATGGCTTCCAGCTCCTCCTGTTTATTGCCCATGCTACGTGCATTGGTGTAAACACACTTGAGCTGGGCTGTCAATCTCACCCCTGGCCTTGGCACTCCAAGCCTAGGCTCATCCCTAGTGAGCTGGGCAATATCCCCTTCCCCCTTCGAACCTAGTTTAAAGCCCTCTCAATGAGCCCAGCCAGCTCGTGGCTCATGTTCTTTCCCACTTCAAGAGGAGAGTCTCTCCCTACTTATCTGTAACCATCACCACTCTTCTTGATGAAAATTATCTAAACTAGATTAAAATCCAAGGACTGCTATTCAGTGCCAAAAACGCTTCTGTGAACACAGTACCTCACTTACAGAATTAGAGACACCGCACTCAAATGAGTACCCTGTCACCCCAAGTAGTTTATATAAGCCTCAGACAAAAAAATGGAATACCACAATCATGAAAGTCTTACTAGATTAATCTGAGTCTCTTTTACCTCAAAAGAAAAGCATAAGATGGCTTTACTCCTACAGTGCAGGCTACTGAGAGGTATTTACACCCATCTAAGGCAGTGCCGTTCTCTCTCCCTCACCACGTTTCAAGGACACAGTGCCGTGGCACTGGAAACAAGTATCTGTGCTACAGTACAAACTGCTGGTAGTCAGGGCCAGCATTCAGCCCACAGAGCTTGAGTGAGCACTGTCTCAACCACATTCCCAGTTACTTTATACTTTAAAAAAAAGCCACTCTTCACTTACGTAATAATATTAATTACCCAAATAAGTAAGACCTATAGAACGGAGGGTCTAATTTTTTCCATCTCAGTTTCTATAAATTGAACTAATTTAAATCACAACTATGAAAGAATTATTTCAAATTGTTTAAATTTTTCCTACACAAGTGATTATGTTTGTTCAAGTATGGTTATCATTAGGTCCACTATTTCTGACTAATTCATCAACTGAATTCACCAAGGCACTGGATGACTAATTGAATAAGGTAAAAAAGTTCTATTTTAAGAAAAACATATTATTCTTCAATTTAAATTATTTGCATGTTTTGAAGGTTTATTTTTGAATCTGAGTACATCTCCAATTTCTGACAAGAAAGTATTTGTAAAAGATAAGAGAAAATTTGGCAAGTAACTCCATTCTTTCACAGAAGAGAATACAAGGAATAGTACAGAGGGTTTCAGTCAACTACATAGCTTGAATTTATTTCTTTTTAAAGGAAAACTGCCCTAACTGCTCCCTGGAATATAACGACGATCAAGTACTACCTTTAGCATAGACTTCTACAGAATATTTTGGTGAAAAAAATTATTTCATTTAATGGGTGAAAATAAATGAAACCCTGTTAGGACAGCCAGGCACCATCATCCCCTATTCACAGGGCTCTTTAAAAAGAGACAAATAAGTACTTATATATTGTTTACTATATGCTTCTTCCACAAGGAAGCATTTTATCAAGCATCATTCTTACTCAGTTCAACATCATGTTAACAGATATCCTAAGCTGAGCTGCCTATTCAATATACACAGATAATTGTTTCCAAATAGCTTAAGATGGTACAGAGAACCAGCCAGTAAGACACAATACACTGCTGTACTTCAACATGAAGCTCTGCGCGTGGGATAGAAGAACCCCATGCCTGGGTACATGTTGGGTACAGACTGGATAGGAAGCAGCTTTGCAGAAATTAAGCCAGTTGGGTACAGACTGGATAGGAAGCAGCTTTGCAGAAATTAAGCCAGGTGTCTTGTGGATAACAAGCTGAATGCAGGTCAGCAGTGTGCCTTTGTGTTGTATGAAGCCAACTGCACCCTGAGCGGAGTTATCAATAGGGTATCCTGCAGACCGAAAGAAGTAATCATCCCCGTTTACTTGGCATGAGAAACTGCATCTGGAGCACTGTGTCTAGTCTGGAGCTCCCCAATACAATAAAAACACTGGCATACTGGAACAAGTCCAGTGGGGAGTTACCAAGGTGACTAGGTACTGGAGCACATGGTGCATGAGGGTAAGAGAACTGAGCTTGTTCAGTGTTAAAAGGTGGTAGTCAAGGGAAATCTGATTACTATCAGTATCTAATGTGAGGTTATAAATGACAGAGCTAGACTGTAAGGTTAGAGGAGGTGTGCAGTAATGATTCATAATGGATACAATCTCTGATGAGAGAAATTCTTATTAGATTGGAGGGTAGAACAAACAAACAAATCACCGTGAGGCTAACAGAACTTACAACAGGAACCCAGAGAGGAATTTCCAGTCTTTGAAATACACAAAGCTCAAATGGACAAGGTCCTATACAACCTGACCTCAGTTGGCCCTGCTTTGAGTATATATTTAGACCAGATGACTCCCATAGGTCCTTTCTTAAATTATTTTATAATATTGTGCAAATAGACATTAATTGCTGTTTAGCAGCAAAGGTTAACTCATAGATACAAAGTTCAAATCGTAGTCATAGATCCAAAGATCAAGGTGTAGTGAAAATACTCCCAAGCAGTGCTACTTTGCCAAGAAGTACCAACTTGAATTCTGCAGTCTAAGTTTGGACAACACACATTTTTATCTGAGTAGAGAGAAGAAGAATTAAAAAAAAAAAAATAGGGCTACAGAATATGGTGTGGTTTGGCTTCGCTACGTAGGAGGTGTGCAAGATGAAGACAGGGAACTGGGGAGTCACTACAGATGAGGGCATCTGCGGCAGACTAGATTGGTCCCCGAGTTTGGGATTCTGAACAATTGGCAAGCTAGCCTAAGAAACCCAAATCATGCAAGTTCCACCCCACCCCCCCACCCCCAGTTCATGGCCAGTCTCTTCAGATTAATGTACCTATTTTAGTCCTGAACTTTAATGTTCATATCTTTCCAAAAACAGGTGACTTAAATCTGTTTCTAGCAAGACAACTCCAGAGGACTTCAATACTAAGTTCTTTCAAGACTAAGGAAAAAAAAACAACCTAGTATTTTTGCTTGAAGAAGCAATAAAAAATAACTCACCTTGCTCTCTGGAGAAAAGATTAATAGATACAAAATTAGGATCAGAAGAGCAAAAGCTTGAACGACATTTACATAATAACAATCACAATTGCCAACTATATTAAAGAAATATGAAAGGGGAAGAAAAGATTTTTTTTTTTCAGAGGTATTTGAGGGAACTTTTATGTTGGAGGCTTACTGAACACTCTTCCAGACAAGCATAGTCTTTTGTGTCCACAGTGGCCAGACTGTGTGGAAAAAGAAGCCCAAGTAAGATCAGTGATAGACGCATACAGAAAGAAAAAAGGCATGAAGAGAACAGTAGGTCAAGATAAGCGTAATAATCATTCTTCTCTGCTTGGTAACTGTCTTTGAGGTTTACTTCACAAATTTCCAAAACATAGGTGTATGACTACAGCAAGTCCTAGCTTGCCAGTAAACTCCGTCTAAATCAGATCAATTACTGTATCATTTACTGGATTCCCAATAAAACACTGAATGTTCCTTTTTCTCATTATGAGCACATTATGCTGGAATTTAGGACCAAGAATGCTATCCCTGAGAATTACTTCTTCACGGAGAAACCAAGTAGAAGTTTATCTGGACAAAGCTATTTATATCACACCAGTCTGTGGGCATCTGCCACAAGTATTACTTTATATAACTTATTAATCTTTCTCACCTGGTGTACAGGAGCACATACAGTCATATGTTCTGTTAGAGAATTACCATAAAACTACCATTAACTGTGTATATGACTGCCATAAACAGTCCTAACCCAACACCCAATCAGCAGAAAGTCTTCATTCTCTTCCAGGTAATATTTCAATATAAATTGTAAGAGCAACAGGCATAAGCATCACTTTTATCTTTAAGTAGTACTTGACAGATTTCTGTTTGGTTGTTTTTTTTAAGTTTTTTTTATTTTTAAAGACGTACAACTTAAGATGGGATCCGTCTGCCTAAATTGAGCAATTTTCAAAGCAGTAACAAAAGACAGACAATCTCCACAGTGGTGTTCTGTCTGCCTAACTAAACAAAACACATAGCTGCATTTGCACACTTCTAGCATAAGCAGATGATATCATCTACCACAAACACTTGCAGTCTGAAAGGAAATTAAGTCAATCTTCACCTTTCCACCTGCTATTAAGTCATGCAGAATCACTTTTTTTTTTTTCTTTTAACTTACACAGCGTGACTGATATCATTCAACTGATTACGGCCATCCTGAAGTGCAGGACTGAAGGGTTCACATCGTTTCCATCCATCTTCTGTTTTAACCCATCTCCATCCAGGGGATCTCCAGTCTTGGCCCAAAAATGGCATGGTTTCTCTATAAGCAGCAAGAAGATTGTTTGCTTATTATTTAATTATTAAGAAAAGTTGCAAAACTTCTTGTCATTATTTCAGTTTTCTCTCTAACCTTGAAAAAAAAAACAAACAGATTACCCTGAGGAAAGAAAGTTCTCTGTAGAGCACCCTTTTAAGAAACCGACTCCGTGGTTTCTTAAGTACATTTTTGATTCTATAACCTCATTCTTCTTATCTTTCAGAACTTACTACATTGAGGTAGGTTTCCTAGTCCTTTAGAGAACAAGGAAAAGAATCATGGTAGTCCAAGAAAGGGATAATACCAAAATGAGCAAAATTGTATCCTGTGTGATCTGCTCCACCGTGATCAAAGAGATTACCAATTTTAAAACCTGGCTAATAAACTGTTGTTAAAGACTCTTACAGGCCACAAAATCAATGTTGCTCCTTTTATTTTTTCTAAGGCTTAGAAATACTGAGTTTGTGCTGCACTGTGTAATGATGTTTCAGTAAACGAATTTTCATTTTCCCAAACACTTTTTCCAGCTGTTGTTCACGCTAGGCTATTAACTGGATACCAGGACAAATGGAGACTGCAACATAAAGTCAACCATGAAACGTCTCCTGAAATTCCTACAAACAGATGCAAGTCATCACAGGTATATCTTTCAGCATTCTGCTACTGTTTTTCAAAAGGGAGATTCACTTCTGACACATTAAGTAAGAATTTGAGCAAAGCCATTTCCTACACTTTCAAGACTTTGACCTTGCTAGATTTTGCCCTCTCCTTCCCCTTCATCATGCATACACGTCGTCCTTATTTTACTAGATATTTCACATGCAAGCTATACAGGGAAAGTACCATTATCATATTTGAAACATATGTTAATATATAACAATACACCAATATATATATATAACAATACACCAATAGCTTTGTTCCTAACCAGTATACATTTTCTAGTATTTTTTCAACTTGAAAAAATATTAGGCCACATCAGTCAAGCGTCACTATGAATTTATTTATCCATTTGCACTCTTGACCAGCACTTGCCCAATATATTAGTTAGAACAGGAGAAGGCAGAGACATAAAAAAAGCCTGAAGAAATACAAGTTGAATGAGCCAGTATACTTTTTTTTATTAAAAAACCGCACACCACTCAAAGTGAAGTGCATTGTCTAGCCTTCAGCACTGACTGAAGTCCCCTTCCTACTCTTAACTCAGCCTGTCTCCGCATCGAACAGGAATCTTTTCCAAAATTTACCACATCCTTTCCTCCAGCCACCATAAACTCTATTCATGCTTATCTGCTTTTGCATTGTTTTGACTGCTTCCTAGGAGTAATGTGAACCATAACATTCTTTCCCCCCCCCCCAAGTTGTTTAGAACTCCTCTCTTTTAGACGGAGAGGAAGGCCTCTTGTCTCTATCATACAACTGTTTAAATAGTTGGTGCTCACGAGAATAACATAGATTAAAGTATTTTTACTCCTGCCAAGATAAGCAGAATTAACCCGCAAATTTGTTAAATCACTGAAAGACTCGGAAAACAGCAGACAGCAAGTCAAAACCATTGTCTTGGACAAACATAAAGCATTTTGAACCATATCTAGAGATATAGGGCTCACAATCTATTCCTGGTAAGCAGCTCTGATACAAAAATGAAAAACACTATTGTAGGTGCCTGTCATTACTCAAAAATTAAGATCTAGAGAGAGTTCAGAATCACATTCAACCATTATCGGTTGAACAGGATAACCTGAAAAAAAAAAAAAGATTTAAAACATTTCAAGAGTATTTACATTGATAAAGAATTGCTGGGAAAAGGAAGTGAAAAAACCAAAACCACATACTTGCAGCAAGGTCGGAACATGTATTTTTAGAAGCTAACAGGGTAAGTTACAAAAAAAAATAGGGATAAAGAAAAATAAAACTTCCTGAAAACAATACAAGAAATCATGAAGTATTTTGTTCAAGTGGATGGAAGTAGCTAAAGTCCAAAGCTAATCATAATTTAGAGAACAGGACGCTCAATACGCTTTATAAACCCTTAAACTCTGGAATAAACGCCTGTGGTTTCAAGGTATCAGGCCACCAGTGTGCGTGCTATGTGCAACTTCCTCCTAGAGAGCCATCCTGGCATTTAAAATGACATGCCTCAATAGTTACATGCTCTAAACCAGACTACTTTCCAGATCTTCACAACCTGAAAAGTGATGGTCTTTCATTGCTAGGTTTCAACACAGAAGAAATGTTCTATCATCCCTCCTCAAAAAAATTACATTAAGTGTTTTCAAAATAATAACAGCAGTATCAGGAAGTGCACGCACGCACGCACACACCCCTCAGACTACTGATGTCTGCTCCAGAAATCCTCAAAAACAATATTTAAGACAAAAAGCTCCTAGAGACATGAATGATTTCTGCACATGTATGACATATTCAGTACATTATCTTTCCAAGAAAAAAAAAAAAAGCTAGTAGAAACAGATTACTTTAACTTCTTTAAAATTACTTAAACATTTGTGAAAGATTACAAAAAGTCAGTAATTCTGTGAGGCTGGTACATACTGACCTCTTTTTTTTCCCCAAAGAAACAAATGTTCATAGTCCAAGACATAGTTTCATTATTGCACCAGCTAAGAGTGCATCCATCAGTAGCAATTGCACAAAATGACCTGTACTCAAGCTCAGAGGTTGAAGCTCATGGAGTCAGAAATTTAAAACTATTCTTCTAGTAATAGTGCACATGCAATTATGAAAAAAAAAAAATCCCACTGCTTCTCAGTTCCTGTAGGATTGAAGCATCGATTTGATTGCTGTTCGGAAGTAAGTGACCAAGTTTTAAGATGCTGCAGTGTATCAAACACCACTCCCATGCATCCCTTTCATACAAGAAGTGATCATACAGTATGACTGCCTGGACAGGTACGACAGTTCATGCTTGTTCTGCCTCCACTCAGACTGTGCTTCCCAGTACAGCATTGCACCGACGCACGCCTGTGGCTTCCAGACCAGAGCTCGCTTTCCAGAGTTCCAGCACAGTTTATTTAGTATACCTTCAGTAACAGCAAGCAGCTGTTTACTTGTTAAAACTTTCACCACAATACAAGATGAGCTCCTTAGACTTGGATTTTGGGGAAAATGCAGTGGGACACAGTTCTTTAAAGCAAGAAAGGACTGGGAAAGGAATGTGGTCACCAGCTAGTAACAAGGGTTTAAGACAAAACATTGATCACATTTAACTTTTTCCCAAAAACAAGTAAGAAAAAGAGTTCTTCACTTTGCATCATACACCTGTTCTTCAGGAGATGTGGAAAATGGACTGAGGAAACAAGAACCACAACAAAGCAGCACAGGAGGGCTGTGTATGCCAGCTTAGTATGGCTTGAGATTACAGTACTGCTGCTCCGTCCTTGCACTTGTAAGGGAGTTCTGCTTTCCAGGAGGTAGATAACTCGCCACATGAGCAAAAACCACTGCAAAGCCATTCAGAATCGCAGCAAGTCATCCCATTACTTTGCCACTGTACCGGAGATCTCTTCTGTGTATTCCTATACTTAAGAATATGTCACTACCACCAAACCCATTCTTGTTATTCAGTAGCAAGACTGTTGCCAACATGATGGGAACAGGCAAGGTTCCCGTTTCCTAACAAACCAACAGCACACCCATCTCTTCCTTTAGCACGCTAACAAAATCTCCTCAGCAGCTCAGCTTTCAGCAGAAACCACTCCTTCACACGCTCACTACAGGCAGACGACTTCTAGACTCCCTCCTCTGACGAGCGAGCCAGATCATCACCCTCTGTGACTCAGAGGTCAAAGTCTGCTTACAGACCTCAGCCCGCCCCGTGTTTTTCCATATAAAGCAACTGTCTCAAACCAAGTCCCAAACTTCTGCAAGACCACGATGCATCAGCTCCTCAGCTTTTCTCTGCCCCCCCCTATTCTGATCGTTATTTCCCCATACAACAGTTTCAGTGCATCCAGGCCACACGCTTCTCAGTTCCCAACAGGCACACACGCTCCTCCTCCGCTCCAGCCGAGCTGCCTGCCCCAGGCCTCCTCCCTCCAGCCGGCT